TACTACTACTACTACTACTACTACTACTACTTCTACTACTACTACTACTACTACTACTACTACTACTACTACTACTACTACGACCACGATTACTATTACTATTACTATTACTATTTCTACTACTACAAGTACTACTACCACTACTACTACTACTACTACTACTACTACCACTACTACTACTACTACGACTACTACGACTACTACGACTACGACTACTACGACTACGACTACGACTACGACTACTACTACTACTACTACTACTACTACTACGACGACTACTACGACTTCTACTACTGCTACTACTACTACTACTACTACTACTACTACTACTACTACTACTACTACTACTAAAGATGACTAAAAACCGTATCGCCATCAGCATCCTCGGTATCGCCATGACGATGGTGAGCATCCTCCTCATCAGCAGCAGCATCAGCATCAGCATCATCAACATCATCATCATCAGCAGCATCATCATCATCGTCATCATCACCATTATCATCATCAATCAAATCAACATCAGCATCAGCATCATCGCCATCATGACTATCAGCATCATCATCACCGTCGTCATCATCATGCTCGTGATGTCCACCAGCATCATCCTCATCAGAATCGTCTCTGTCGGCATCGTCGTCATTTTCGTAATCATCAGCACCAAAATCGTCATCGTCGTCATCTCCATCCTCGTGGTCATTAAACCATGTTAGGAAGCCAGGGTATAGCTCTCTGTGGTGCCAAGCCCCACGTCACCACCAAAGAGCGTTGCGGCGGGGTCCTTCTCTGGAAGGAACTCGAGGCCCACCACCTTCGCGACGGCCTGTCTGCCAGGGTGGAAGCACGGACAATGGAGGAAACGGGAAATCTCTCTGAGCGAACCTGCCTACACGGCCATTGGAACTTGGAAAGCCGGACGCCCACTGCCAGTGAAAGCAGCGTAATCTTCTGGAACCTCACTTCCCAGATGCAGAGCAGCGAGGAATCACCAATCGCTGGAATTTGCTCCCAGATGTCCGTGCTGACTGGAGCAGCAAAACCTTCTGAACTGTCCACAACTGCTAAGACCTACCTGAGGACGCCGCTCGCTCGATGCTGACCTCGTCCTTCAGAGTCGTGCCGTCGGGCTTCCCCGTCGAAGCTCGACGTAAAAAAAAGAGGGCCCCGATAGGTATCCACCAAGGGGAACAGCGAGGCCGAAGGGGCCCCAAGGGGTCCAAGAACGGACTCTTAAAACATGGCTAGGAATACCCCCCCCGACACGGCCTCAGGATCTTTAGTGGGAGCCGTCAGGAGGCCTTTGAGAACCCCCTCAGGAGCCCCCGAAACCCTTTGACATGCTGGACACCCTGGAAAAGCTATTCGACGTGCTGGAAAAACGTACACGAAGGATTATCAAAGTTGAGCACGCGTGACGGGCTGTGAGGCCCAACGGGTCAGGGAATCCAGAAATTCTTGAGAAATATGCTGCATCAGCTTGTTTCGAAATACCAGACAGTCAAACAGCGGTGAGGCGGACGCCCAGGAAACATCCCACTGGGAAAGCCCAGGGTTGCACGCAGACCGCCACTGGAGAAAGTCGCGGCTGGCCTTCACAGGCACCCCACGGCAGTTCAGGGTGTTCTCAACACACCAACGCGGGGGGCGGAGCGCACCAGGGACATCCAGGGACCAGGGGGCGCCGCCATTGTCCTGAGAACATCACGGGCTACCGAGCGGGGCCTGCTTAGGGTAGCCTGGCCTGCCTCTGGGGGCTGTCTGCGCGAGAGCCCAAGTACTGCGCCTCCTCCCTCACCTCCCTCCCCCCACTTCCAATATAGTCCTCGCCCTCCCCTCGTCCTCCAAGTCGTCATCCCCCTCCTCTTCCCCCTCCTCCCCCTCCTCCTCCTCCTCCTCCTCCTCCTCCTCCTCCTCCTCCTCCTCCTCCACCTCCACTTCCCCATCCCCTTCCGTATACATTTTGGCTCAGGCCTGTCCGTAGGCCCCCTGCTCCTGGACCTTGTCCTTCGGCGTGCCCCGACACCCTTGTTTCACGGGGCAACCTGGCGGGCGTGAAGGACTTGGGGGAGCAGGGTTGTTGGCTCGCGGGAACATGGTTGCGGGAGGCGCCTCCGCTGGGGGGTGTTTCCGGCACTCCGCAAACGATGTGAAGTGTTCCTGGTGCGCGCGCGGCCGCCGACGACCTCGTGACCAAACTCAAAAAGCAGCTCGCGGCAGTCGAGCAGGAGCGCGATCGTCTCCAGGTGCTTCTGGCTGGGGAGTTCGGCCCCGCCAGCGTGGAAGAGGAGGTGCTGCGCCGTGAGCGCATTGCTCGCCCTGCCCTTCGAGCGCTCGTGCAGGGGTCCGCCTCAGCTTCGCATGCCGATCGGCTGCGTCGAAATGTGGCCCTCCACGCTGCCATCTGCCCTCACGAGCTCGCTCCTCTCTTGATATGGCGTCGGGCGCAGCATGGATTTCGTCTCGCAGCTGGTGGTTTTCGTGCTGATGCCCCTCGTGACCCGCGTGTCTTTCCTCGGGCTGGTCTGTGGGAGCCGTTCCCCAAGTGCCTTGTGTGCACGTGCGGCAAGAGCACACTGCCAGTCCCAGAGGTGCGGCATGAAGACGTCATGCACCCCGTCGAACTGGTAGCGAACCTCCACCGCGCCCCGGGCCCTGCCCAGCCCGCCGCGCGGACGGTGCGGTCAGCCCCCAAGGCAGTCCCTAGCTGCGGCGCCGTGGCCCGTTGGAGAACCAGGCTCAACTCCTGGCGCCACTTGGCCATCAGGGCGCTGGCTGCTGCCAGGACCGCCGCGTCGTCGCCCAGGAGGGCCGCCTCTCTTCGGGCCAGCGCGCGCAGGTGCCAGAGGGCTGCCACCTCGCGGCGGCCTCCAGCCTCCAGCGTCAGGGGCGCCATGCACAACAGGGCCCGCCCTTAGAGGTAGCGGCGGCGTTTGTCCGCCTCCGCTTCGGCGTTGACCGCGCCGCTGCGCCTGGCCGCCGCCAATCCGTCGGCGTCCCATTGCACGCAGTAGCGTACCGTCACGTCAAAGTACAACTTGCGCTCGATTCGCCCGCTGCACCTCGATGTCGAAGACGGCCTCCTCTCGTTCCAGCCGCGGCGCGGCCCCGCAGGTGGCGCAAGGGACTGCCGGCCGGTCCGCCCTCGCTCCGCCTGCGTTGCAGCATGGGCCGGTCCAGCGCCAGCGGTCCCAGGCTGGGACGTGGACTTGGCGCTCACGCAGTACCCACACTTCGCATGGATGCGGGCCCAGGCGCGTGCAAGGTCCTCGCTTCGCTCCTTTGTCCCGCCGCCGCGAGTACAGCGCCAGGCGTGGCGCGCCGCGTCGCCCAGTGGCTCCCCGCAGCGCTGGCCAGCCCTTGCTCCAGTTCGCGCGGCGCTGCAGCAAGTGGCGCTGGGCGGGGCCGCGGCCTGGCCCAGCAGCGTCCGCGCGGTGGAGCGACAGTCTTCGTCGGGGAGCTCCAGCGCCTTCGCGCCCGGCAAGGCAGTCTGCCAGGTGCTCGTGCGCGACCCCCCGCAGGAGCGGAGAAGCGCTCTCCCCTCTGGCCCCAGGGCCTGTCAGAGTGTGGAGGCAGACTCCAGCTCGGTTGCTATGGAGTTGCGCACGACGGCCCCCCTGGACTCTGGCGCCCTCCACGAAAAGGCGGCCACGCATGAGGCCACCGACCCCCTCTTTTAAAGGACCACTCCAGTCCTCCTCCTCCTCCTCCTCCTTCTCCTCCTCCTCCTCCTCCTCCTCCTACCTACCTACCTACCTACCTACCTACCTACCTACCTACCTACCTACCTACCTACCTACCTACCTACCTATCTACCCACCCACCCACCCACCCACCCACCCACCCACCCACCCACCCACCCACCTACCTACCTACCTACCTACCTACCTACCCATACCTCGTTCTCGCATCTCCTCCAGGCCCCAGGGCGGCGTCCTGGTCTCCAAGGCTCGCCTCCACTAGCTTCTTCGGCCGGTCGCCGCCAGCAGGCGGTCGCCGACTGAGGCAGGGGGGGGATCCAGGCGTCGCAGGGCGACAACGTGAGGGAGGAGGGTGGCGGAGACCAGGGGGACGACGACGAGGAGGAAACAGAGGAGCAAGAGGAGGATAACGACGAGGAGGACAAGGAGGCCGAGGAGGAGGAAGGAAGAGGGAGGAGGGAGCCGGGAGGAGGAAGGCGGAGGAGAATGAGGACGACAAGAGTAAACCCAGGGTGTATCAAAAATGCTGCAGTACACCCTCCCGTCCTAAAACCCCTCCTCAGAAGTCCCTACATGGACCCCCATTCAACTGCGAGAAAAAATGAATGACGAACGCCAAGCGGGCCTGCCGCTCAGGCAGTGTCCCCTCTTGCAAAAGATATACCGCCCATCCTTTTCTGCTGCCAGAGAGGCAGAAGAAGTGTCCAGCGATAGCCCCGTGTTGAGAAGAAGCTGCCCTCCACGAGTGAAATTGCTGCAACAACTCAGGAAGTTCTGGCCATAGAACTCGCGTAGGTCTCAGGCAAGATCTGCATTTCGGAAAAGCATCACCATCCATCCGTGCAACTACTGTACATGTTGGATGCTCCGGCCGAAGAACTTGCTTGAATAGTTCTCAGGCGAGAGCCGCCAATTGAAAACGTAATGGGGCTTCCACCCTCGTAGCTAACGGTTGCAAGCTGTTCGGACGTGAGTGCGCGGCGTTAAGGGGAGAGCCGTATTCTGAAAAACACCCGCCCACCCACAAATCGTGGAACTGTTGAATGTGTAGCTTCGGGGTCGTATTGTCTTTTTTGCTCATGCAGAAAAATGATCTCAACACTGCGCGTCCTCAGCGGCGATGCGATTCAAAGTGTCGCCAGACAAGCCAGGTACAACCCACGAGCCGATCTGCGGTAGGCAAACTCATGAGGTGAACCGTGGCCTGAGAGAGAGAGAGAGAGAGAGAGAGAGCGAGCGCGTGAAAAGTAACGTATTTCCCCCCTCTGCGCCAGCCGCAGGCCAGAGGAAACATGAAACGACGCGCCCCGTGCTCAGGAGTTGCATGCCCAGGCAGGTGATGGCAACGTTGCGAAACAGGGACATGCCAAGCAAACGCGGAACGCCACACAGGCCGCCCCGCAATAGGCAAACTCGCGCAGAGAACATTATCAGGGGAGATGACAGAGTGCCATCGAGAGCTACCCGTGAGAATGATTGCCTGGGCGCTTCATTGCAAGAGGACAGGGGGGAGGAGCAGGAGGAGGAGGAGGACGAGGAGGAGGAGGACGACGACGACGACGATAACGGCGACGAGTACGAGGAATAAGCCAAGGAGGATAACGGCGACGAGGAGGAGGAGGACGACGACGACGACGACGACGAGGACGAGGACGAGGACGAGGACGACGACGACGACGACGGGCAGGACGACGACGACGATGACGACGACGACGACGACGACGACTACGACGACGACAACGACGACGACGACGACGACGACGACGAGGACGGGGAGGAGGACGACGACGACAAGGAGGAGTTCAAGGAGGAGGACGACGGCGACGAGGACAAGGCAGCAGGCAGCAGGCTGGCTGGCTGGGGTGGCCCAGTGGGCGGCATTCGCATCCTTGGGCATGGATGCTTTTAGTGGGCTTGACCGGGCAGGAGGAAACCTCCCGCGACGGAGCATCCCAACACCGACCACTGTGCCTCCAGGCGGGCAGGTCCATGGCCACCTCTGGTGCATGGAAAGCCCGCGATTGGGGGGACAGCGACCGTCAGGGGTGGGATGGGCCGGCAGAGAGTCCGCATCTCAACTGCCGGGGGCTTCGCCCTGTCCCCCAGCCCCCGCGGTCAGAACAGCGTGCGCGAAGCACCACTGCAGACAGGCAGACAGGGAGGGGGAACGAAGACCCTCCCTTGAAAGCGGCGGGGGCCCCCAGCCCAGACCGGCCGACGCCGCAGCCCGCTGCCGCAGCGTCCCCGCTGGAGCGAGGGCCCTGCGGAGGGAGCGCTCAACCGGAGGGAGGGAAGGAGCAAGGGAAAGCGAGGAGAGAGAAAAAGAGAGAGAGAGAGAGAAAGCGAGGGCCCTAGAGGGAGGGAAGGAGGTTACGCGGCGACCACACCCGACCAGAACCTAGCCTCCGCCCTGTCCACAGCCAGCGCGAGTAGGGCGGCCTCCGCATAGCCTGGCTGGTCAGGTGTGGAACTTAGAATTGCCGTCGCACATGCCTCCTTCGACTCCGGTGGTGGTGCTCCGCAGGCCCGCCAAAACTCCGTGCGCTGCCTCTCCACGGCTCCGCACACGCCCAGCACGTGAAAGGTGCGGCTCCTCGTTCTGATACCACAAAGGATGCATGCTTGGCTGCGCGCCCAGGAGCGTCTGCCCGACTCCTACCCCAGCGCGAGGGCACCCATCCGAAAACGCGACAGCGACCGTTGGCCCAATAAGACCTCCCACGTGGAATGGAGGCTCCCTTTCGCCCGGAGATCCGTCGAGAAACTCGGACGCAAGGAGAGATACGGTAGAGGGAGAAGATGCTGGCCAGCTGCCTGCCGCCAGCGTTCCTCTGAGGACCTTGCCAATTTGTCCAGGACCTCCGCCTTGCATCCATCCTTTGTGCCCTCCGGGTGCTGGATGGACCACACCGGCCAGTCTGGTATGCCCCAGGAGCTGAGAAAGACTTGGGAGGCCTTGGCCCACGTGGCCCCCTCCCAACCGTGCGCACCCAGGAATACGTCTCGGTACAGGTCCCCGTCGGGAAGTGCCCACAAAGCGGCTCTCCTGGAAGCCACATCGCCCACTAGACGCGCAGCCCCCGACAGGCGCCAGCCCATCTCGCCGAGCGCTGCTGCGGGCCCCCTCCATGGTGGAACGCCCAGGAACAACCGTGCCCAGCCTTCGTACGCCGCATCGGCGGCCTTCTCACTGCCAGACGCAGGGGCCCAGAGAGACCTGCCGAACCTGAAAGAGGCTTCCACCTGCAGATCGAAGACGCCGGCCGCAGCAGATAATGGAAGCTCTTCGCGGGCCACCAAGCCCGCCAGCGTGGAGACATGGGAGGCCGCAGCGCTGATTCGATCCATGCCCATGGCCAGCAGATCCAAGTCGCTGCGCCATGGGAGACCCAGCCAGCGATGTTTGGTCACCATGGCAATGGGCATCGGCTCCTGGCCCACTAGGGCAAGGACCAAAGGCTCCTCCTTTTGGGAGGCTTGGAGGAACCGGCGGCCCCCCGACACCATGGCCGCTTGCTTGGTGGCCTTGGTGTGAGGGCTGGCCTTGTGTTTGTAAGCCCACGCTGCGAGCACCCCCAACGCTCCCTGCATGCCCCCTATGCTGCTGGCTAGAAGCACCGGGTCGTCCGCGTGTAGTACTGCCGGAAGCCTTCGGGGAGCAGCCCAATCAAGCGCCTGCAAGGCCGAGGCCTCCAGATCCTGATGGGCATCCAGCTGGGCCAGTGAGGGCAGTTCGCGCCTCTCCCTGATATCCACGAGAAGCTGCCTTGACCATGTCTCCACCGGAGTCCCTGTGCATGACCATTCCCTGGCCTGCCACTGCGCCGGCATGGGCCCGCCCAGGCCCACCCCCAGCCCAGCGTCCACGAGGGCGACCGAGAGCTCATCCATGTACGAGGGAAAGCATAAGGGCCCCAAGTTGCCTCCTTCGGCAAGGCCCTGTACAACTGTCTCCACGTGCACATAGTTGTGGTTCACATGCACGTGGTCTTCCTCTAGCATGGACCCGAGAATGGCCAGTGCCCCGCCTGTGACCCCCGCCCGGCGGGCGAGCGTCCTGAGAAGCTGTTCTCGCCATACCCCCCGGAAAGCCTTCTGCAGATCCCCGAACACCAGCCAGATGGCCCTGCGCTCCCCTATGGCCGCGGCACAGACCTCGGATAGGAGGAGGTGCGCCTCTCCCACGTCTTTAACGTAGCCAATCTGGCCCGGGGTGATGGAGGCCCTGAAATCATCTTTCAGTCTTCCGAACTGGATCGCCTCCTGCAACAGACCCAGCTGCGCGCGAACCATAATTAATCTGAAACTGCCGCTCTCGTCCGCCGGCCCCTCCTCGTGCTGCGGCACGGCGCAGAGCCCTCTCCAGGCGCGCGGGCGCATGGCCAGGGCCCCAGGGCCTGTGATGTGCATCAGTAGCCACACTGCGGAGTCCAGGCTCGGGGCTCCCAACTGCAAGACAATCGTGGGCACCAGATCTGGCGCTGTGGCATCCGTCCGCGCCCACTGGCCCACGGCGACGCAGACCTCGTTCTGCACGATTGGAAGGTCATGCGGCCCCGTGCCTCTCTTGGTCCACGCCCCTCCCAGCAGTTCGGCCGACCTCCTCTGCACAAGGGCATGGTAGCTCGTGTCCCACGGCCCTGGCCAGTCCGACTGTCTCTGCAGCTGCTTCCCCCACTCCAGCAGCGAGTCCGCCGGTGAGAGCACGGTAGAGCCCACCCTCAGGCAAGGCTCGGGCCGGACGCCTCGGGGCCTTAGCACTTGCACACACTGCGCACACTTGTCCCCCCATCCTCCTTCAGCTTGGAGCGCCGCCTTGAGACGAGACCGAAGGGGCTCCGTCTCGACAGCCCCGCCTGCTCTGGCCCCTGCTTGGCGCCCCAGCCTTGCCCGGCCCGGAACAACCCAGCCCGCCATGGATATGCTCAGAACTAATTGGAACATCCACGCCGACGCGTCGCAGACCCACTGCGCATCCCTTCTGCGCAACCCGCTGGCTTTCCTGCTGAGCTCCTCAGCCTTGAGCGCCGAGAACACCGCTACACAGCCCCTCAAGGACTCCTCTGCTGCGTGCACGCCCGCCGCCCAGCTGGCCCTGTTCAGCCACCACCTGGGCATCCGCAAGGGGCCCTTGGCCTGCGTGGCTGGCAACACATATAGCGGCACATCCACCTCAATCAAGAAATGGTCCCCTAGCGTGTATTCCACACACTCCCCGTCGGCCCACCGGCAGGGTGTTTCCGGAGAGCCCTTGGCGCAATGTAGGCCGTTATGGATTGTGGCCAATCCCAATGCTGGCGCCGACGCTGCAAACACATCAATGCACCGGGATAGCCCTGGCCCGTGATGTGTGTCTCCTGGCCTGAGCTGGACGCTGCGGCGGCGGCGCGGCAGAAACACCTCTTCGCGCCTCTCGTGGCCCACTAGCGGGTTCAGTAAGTCTATGCGCCAATCCGCTTGAAGAGCCGCCCACCGTTTGTCTCTGCTTTGTAGCGGTTCCGTGTCGCCACCAAGCGATGCGGGCTGCTTGTTGATGTCGCCCATCAAGATAATAGGCATTGATGTTTCTCCCGATTCTACCCCACAAATCCGTGACAGGTCCTCCCTGAGGCCCGCCATCTCGGCTTCCCACTCTGAGTCGGGCCCTCTTTTCGGGGCAGGGGGAAGGTACAGGACACAGATACGCCACAGGACCCCACTGTCGTCTGCCACCTGCACCCAGAGGCGGCGATTGGACCCTACCTCAGAGAGCTCCGAGACGTCTCGTAGGACGTTCCTGTCCCATATCACTCCTGTGCTCGCGTAGGACGGCCCCCCTCTCGCAATCAGGCCAAACCGTTGGATGTGCGGAATGGCGGTGCCTGGAGGAAGCCTGGCGCCCGGTAGGCCCAGGAGTCCTAGCTGGAGACGGTCCATGGCCGCAAGCGCCCCAGTATGGCGGTCCAGGAGAACGCTCCACCTCACAGACTTGCCATCCAGGGTCATGCACCCCAGGGTACTTGGGGAGCCTACCCCCATCAGTACATGTCGTCGCGCACCTGGGGCCTGAAGGGGAGAAGAGGCATGTCTGGAAGCCCCTCCCGACCCATGCGGCCATATACCTGCTTCCCCTGGCCATGCCAACGCCGACTTCAATTCCGAAATGGCGAAGGCAGGAAGCCCTCGGAAACTCAAACGGGACGCTTGTGAAAGTAAGCGCTGAGCCTCTACCCGCAGACCCTCCCATGCCGACAGCAAAAGAATATCTGCTGACTCCTCTCCTGTGTCCTCCAAACCTCGATCATGCGGAAAAGACGCCCACAGAGAGCTCAGTGCTGCATTCATGGCGACTCCACCGACCCCAGGTGCAACACGTAAAAAGGAGGCCGAAACGGCTACAGATAGAGCATAGCTGCAGGAGGGCCAAGACTTTCCCTGGGGTGCGGAGCCCCCCTGGGAGCGAAGACCGCGCCCCCGTGACGGCCCAAGCGGGCCCGGGATCCCGTCCAAACCAGCACCTCCCTGGCGACCTTGGACCAATCCGGCGTGCAAAACGACGCGAAAATCGGAGCAAAATCGGATCGGGATAACACGAAATCCCTGAGAACCGGCGGGAGGAGGATGTATTGGGCGCCGCGGCCGCTCCAGAGCGTTCCGGAACGCTCTGAGAGCGCTCCGGAACGCTCTGGATCGACTATCCCGATCCCAGCCCTGTTTCAGCGGAGGCCGGCGCGCCCCCCGGAGGCCGACAGCCCCGGACACGGAAGAAAACGACCTCCCAGAAAAACACAACCGGGACGCCCTCCGGAACGCTCTCGGCGAGGGCAACCCCGAACAAGAATCAGCCTTCGACCGGCTCAGGGATCATGAAAAAGGGGCGTAGGAGGCGATCCAGAAGTCGAAACTGCCGGTCGGTCGGCCGTGAGGGTCCTGGCGCGCCCGACGAGCCTGGCGAGAGGCGCCTGAAGCGCTCCCTGGCGGGGCCGGGTGCGTGCCCCCACGGCAGCATAGCTCGGGCTCGGCGACGACGAGGACGCCCTCAAGGCGACGACGACGACGACGACGACGACGACGACGACGACGACGACGACAAGGACGACGACGACAACGACGACACCGACGACGACGACGACGACGACGACCACCACCCCCCTACCTCGAGGGAGCCCCCCTCCAGGCCCGGCCGAACCAGACCCTACCCGACCGACGCGCTGGGCTGCGGACGCCTGCGGGTCGCGCCGTGCCCCAGAGCGGAGGGGGAGGGAAGGAGCGGCAGAGAGGAGGGAGGGGAAGGAGGCTGAGAAGAAGAGTGCGTTTTGTCCTCGGCCAGCCCACGAAGCAACCTGCACAGATTCCCCCGAGGGCCTATGGCCAGATCATTGGCGGCAAGCACTCCATGGCCATCTAAAACACTCGCCCCTGACCACGTGGACTACACCCCCTAGGCGACCTGCGCAGCATCTCCCACGGGGGAGACACAGGAGAGAAAGGTGACGAGAGAAGGGAGGAAGAAACGCACTTCCTGTACGAAGCTTATACAAAATCCTCCTCAGTTTATGATCCTCGAATTGCACCGCGAGTCTCTTTCCCAGGCGCCGCGCCCGGCGCGCACAGGACCTTGGACTGCGCTGGCGGGGAGCAGAAAATGATGGCTGCGAGGGGCCGCGATCCTCGTAAGGGGCGCGCCGAAATGGCCCGAGGCCACCATGCGAACCCTGCTACTGGCGCCCTCGGTGGAGCTCCTACGGGGCCACGATCCTCGTGAGGGGTTGTGCCGAAATGGCCCGGGGCCGCCATGTGGGGCCTTCGGTGGAGGTCCCTATGGGGCCACGATCCTCGTGAGGGGCGTGCCGGAATGGCCAGGGGCCGCCATGCGAACCCTGCCACTGGGGCCACGATCCTCGTGAGGGGTGTGCCGACATGGCCCGGGGCCGCCATGTGAACCCGGCCATTGGCGCCTTCGGTGGAGCTCCCCATGGAGCCACGATCCCCGTGAGGGGCGTGCCGAAATGGCCCGGGGCCGCCATGCGAACCCTGCCAATGGCGCCTTCGGTGGAGCCCCCTATGGGGTCACGATCCTCGCGAAGGGTGTGCCGACATGGCCCGAGGCCGCCATGCGAACCCTGCCGTTGGCGCCTTCGGCGGAGCTCCCCATGGAGCCACGATCCTCGTGAGGGGTGCGCAGAAATGGCCCGAGGCCGCCATGCGAACCCGGCCACTGGCACCTTCGGCGGAGCACCCCATGGGGCCACGATCCTCTTGAGGGGCGTACCGAAATGGCCCGAGGCCGCCATGCGAACCCTGCCAGTGGGGCCTTTGGTGGAGCTCCCATAGGGCCGCGATCCTCATGAGGGGTGCGCAGAGATGGCCCAAGGCCGCCATGCGAACCCTGCCACTGGGGACTTCGGTGGAGCTCCCTATGGGGCCACGATCCTCGTGAGGGGTGTGCCGACATGGCCCAGGGCCGCCGCGAACCCGGCCATTGGCGCCTACGGTGGAGCTCCCCATGGAGCGGCGCATTCGGTGGAGCTCCCTGTGGGACCACGAAACGTTGCACTGGGCGGGTGGAACGCAGGGAGGGAAAAGGAGGGATGAGGGGGAGAAGGGCGGGAAGGAGGAACGCGGGGACCGTCTCTTCAGAACGAGGACCCAAAACCACAGGATCGCCGGGAAAAACCTCTCGCGTTCCAAGTAACGACTGACAGACGTTTCTTCGGCAGGAAGGGGGGAACTGCGCCGCCCCGATCTCCCCGAGAACGAATTCTGCCTCGCTGCATTGGCCCGCGCGCAGGAGCGAGGCGATGTCCTGCGTAAGCCACCCAACCCCAGACGGGGCACACTCAGATGTTGGAAACTCAGAGTCGTCCAAAGACTCAACTAGCCCATCACCTCATCCGCAATCGACTGACGCTTATCACCGAAACCGATTTGGGCGAAGTGGCACACAAACGCAATCCCACGTGGCCAGTCGGACGGAGAGGCAGGCTTGGAGACACGGTAGAGCTTCACCGCATCACCCAATACTGCACCTGATGCAAAGGTGAACCCGTTGCTGACCGAAGAATCGATAGACCAGTCCTTCGGAGAGGGAGGCGACTTCACAACTTCCTCGAGCTCACCGCGGACCTTACCCAAAACTGTCAAATGCCAGTTTCGTCTCAGCATCGCGGAAAGGCTTCAAACGGAGCGTATTGGGGCCCTTCGGGGTCTGGAACTCGACGCCGTCAGGAAAGTGTTCTCGAAACGTCATCAAACTACGCTCTGCCGCATCAGCCGAGGGGAAAGCAAGAATGACTTCCTGCGAGAAGTTCTGAGGTGTCGCATTCATGGCTTGCTTCACTTCTTGATCAGCACACGCACAGACGATGGCCTTGGACAAGAGATCAAAATTTCCACCACTGGAGGACGGTGACCCACTGAACTTCTTGAACGGACCCTCGGAAGCCTGGGAAGACAGAGAACCAATACTGAACAGGTGTCGCAGCTTCAGAATCTCAGCCCTAGTATTAGCGATGTTCTCTTCCTGCTGCTTCATACCCTTCTGCACGGCAACAATGGCGGAAGCAGTTTCATTAACCTGAGCCGAGACCACCGTGAGGGTTTCATTCATTTTTGTCGCCTGAGCTGTCAACTCCTCGATCGCAGCAACAGTGGCCGAGGGACCCATGGCCACACGAACTTCTAGCGCTGGTGATCCGAGCGGAGAGGGGGGGCAACGAGCAGAGCAAAGCAAGCAGGCCGCTGCGCCTGCACCTCGAGCTCCCCGTCGGCTCCGAACAAAGGTCAAAGCGCCAGGGACGAACGTTTCAACCTTGAGCCAAAACGGCTACGGATGACGATGATTATAATGATGATGGTGATGATGATGCTGATGATGATGATGCTGATGATGCTGCTGCTGCTGCTGATGATGATGATGATGATGATAATGACGATGATGATGATGATGATGATGATGATGATGATGATGATGATGATGATGATGATGATGGTGATGACGATGATGATGATGATGATGATGATGATGATGGTGATGATGATGATGATGATGATGATGATGATGATGATGATGATGATGATGATGATGATGATGATGATGATGAGAAGGAGGAGGAGGAGGAGGATTATGATGGCGACGACGACGTTGACGACGACGACGACGACGACGACGACGACGACGACGCCGACGCCGCCGACGCCGCCGACGACGACGACGACGACGAGAAGGGCCCTCCTCCTCCCCCTCCCGCTCCCCCACGGAGGTGGGATCCTGGAGGCCTCCAGGGGTCTCCAGAGGATGCCACCGCGAACCCCCGCGGGCCCCCAAGACGGGCCAGAGGTGCGCAGAAACGTCGATCCTCGAAACGCCCCCTCCTCGGCCCTTGACCCTCATGCTCGAGAGCGTGCGGCCCTGACGGAGCGCGCGGCCGCGCGCGGGGGAGGCGGAGCCGCCCGCCTGCCCATCTCCACGAGGTACGCCGTGCCTGCCAATGGAGGGTGAGGGGAGGCCAAGGAGGGATGGGAGAAAGGGGAGGGGAGGGGAGCAGGGGGAGAGGACAGCGGGGACGGAGGGGAATGAGGGCGACACTGCGCGCTGGTGGATCTCGGAGTTCTGGGCGGCCCGTGGAGGGGGGGTTAGAGGACCGAAATCCTCAAACAGCAATCGCAGGTGCTCAAGGCGTGTAGGTGGAGGAAGGGAACGACGATGAGGATGAGAAGGAGAAGGATGAAGGGGCCCTGGGACACACAAATAAATATACACAAATAAAAATATTCCCATATTTTCCCATATTTTCTGGGTTTTCGTCTTCCCCCCCACTTCCCATATTTTCCTATATTTTCTAGGAAATCCACAATTAATTGTGTCTGTGTGTTTTTCCCCTCCTGAGGGGAGGAGGAGGAGGACGAGGAAGAGGAGGGAGGAGGAGGAGGAGGAGGAGGAGGAGGAGGAGGAGGAGGAGGAGAAGCTCGGCAACGGCTGACAAGGTGCCACCACATCCGCACGCACACACCGAACATAAACAAGTTAGGGTTCTAGGTCCTGGGGGGACTCGTCTTTCAGCAGATCCGACCAAGCAAGTGCCACCAGTCTCGGCCACACCAGGTGCTCAATCACCTGGTCGGGGGGCGGGGCGTGGTCGCCCTGCGTGCGCCGTGGGACTTCCCGTCGGTAGCTGATGGCCCGGTGCCGCGAAAGCTTCGGACACCAGTCGACTGCGACGCAAGTCATCGCCCTGTCGAGGCTCTGTGTGGCAGCCTGGTTGCAATGTAACCGGTCGAGCCGGGAGCGAGAGGTGGGAGAAGCACACGACATGTCTGGCTGATGGAGTTCATGAAGGCCATGAGGTACGGCCAGCTGCCATTGCCGGCAGCCTGTTCGCCTCGGACACGCCCGCCGGTAGCGACCGATGTCGTCGAGCAGCGGCGGTCTGCCACCTCCGCCACGTAGGTAAAGTCCGTGCCCCGGGGACCATCACGAGGTGCAGCCAGGCGAATTGCGCCAGACGTCACGGCTGCCCTGTGTGCCATGCATGTCTGTCCAAACACCCACGTCGTGCGTGCGCATGAGCCGGTTGACGTGCTGTGCATTCCTGCGGTGGCGCAGGGGGTCAGAGGCAAAGAGGGCCTGGCAGTTCCACGTGACCACCAAGATGGCGCCCAAACAAGGGCCAGGTGAGGCGCTGCGTTGTCGACTGGGTCCCACTGCAGGCGACCGTGGCGGCGGCGGCGCCGCCGCCGCCGGGACCGGTCCAGCGGCCAGCGCAGCCCGAACAATGAGCTGCAATCTCAAGAAAGAAGGCGCATCGGTAGAGTGGCCATCGATGTCGGCGTCGCCAGCTGGGCCAACAGCAGGAAAAAGATGGTGGATCGGCATTGCTGAAAGGCGTACCGCGGGGCTGCTGGAAGAGCATTTCCCGTATGGTGAAAAACTTGTCGGTCGCGTAGTCAGCGAGGTCCAAGAGGAAGAGAAAGAGGGGAAGACTCAGAAAACGAATTCGAATCAGAAGCGTACCCAACAGCGCTGGGGGGAGCGCGGCACGAAACGCCGGGCCCGCCAGCCGGCGGGAGGAGCGAGAAGGCGAAGTCCAAGATCCAACAGGAGGTGCCACCACAAGTATAGCATTGAATTCCCAAGGCGGCCGGAGCCGCGGCAAAAGGAGCTAAGTGAGGACGGGGGAGGCAGCCCCAGGCCCCCCCCCCCGCCATCCGTTTCCCGGCAGGCCGCGGGATGCTGCCACGTCATTGGACACCGTGATGCTCAGGTGGTCGGCGCCGACCTGGAGTACTTGTCCACGGAGTGCGCGATAGACCTTCTGGACCTCCTCTGCGGACTGCTGGAAGAGCCGCGCGCGCCCGCGAGGGGCCGCGGCGTCGATGGCTGGCGCGTGGACCCACTGGCCCAGTCGAGGGGCCTGCTCGGCCGCTGCTAGGCTGATGGCCAGCCCCGTGGCCGAGGTGACGTGGTCCATCGAGGAGCCCAGCATCACCTGCCCGCTGTCCCCGGTTAGGGGGCCACATGCGAAGCCTACCCCTACCCCCACGATTTCTGAAGGGAAGGGTGGGGTTCACTTCGCTCGGGAGCTCCCGAACGGAGTGAACCCCACCCTCCCCCTCAGAAATCGTGGGGGGTAGGGGCAGGGTTCGCATGTGGCCCCCTACCGGTCTCGCCAGCGATGGTGACCTCAGTGATGTACTCCGTCGTGTCTCCCTGCCGCTGACCCACGTCGACGCCGGGAGGCACCGAGAGCAGCGGCAGTGGCGGACGGCCAGGCCCACGCCCTCCTCCTTCTCCTCCTCCTCCTCCTCCTCCTCCTCCGCCTCCTCCTCCTCACCTCCCTCTTTTCTTCTCCTCCTCCTCCTCCTCCTCCTCCTCCTCCTCCTCCTCCTCCTCCTCCTCCTCCTCCTCCTCCTCCTCCTCCTCCTTCTCCTCCTCGGCGTCCTCCATGAGAGACTGGTCGAGGATGGGCTTCCAGGACTCCGCCGAGGCCACCGACAAGACCAGCACGCGGTCGGTTGACAGGAAGACTGCCTGCGAGCACGGAGGCCAGACCTTGTGGAGCGCCAGGGGGCCACTGCACTCCAGAATCAGCGCTTCCGAGGACGTGCACAGGTCACGATGTCCAATGCACATGCTCGACGTCATCACAGTGCGCCGCAGAAATCGGATGGCCAGAACAACGTTCGCTTCCGACGCGGCGCAGGGCGAGCGTCTGGGGCGAGCGCAGCCGCAGGAGAGGCGTGGCGGGCGCGAGCAGGAGAAGGGGGGGCGCAGCTAAGAGTTCTCTGTCCTCCTCAACGAAAGGGCGAAGCAAGCCTGATGCCCCTGTGGTTGTATCATGGAGCCTCGCCGAAGGAGTGGACAACCAGAGGAAGAAGCGGAGCGGAGGAAGACGAGGGCGTGGTGCGGGGTGGATGCAGCTGAGGGAGGCGGCCCCACAGCTCAGCGAAGTGAGCACGGCTCTGATCAAGGCTCCAGTCGCAGATGGCTGTGCGGTCATCGGTGCAGACAGCATGGCATTAGTATGGCAGTCACTGTTCGCCTATGGAGCAGGAGAAGCAGCAGCAGCAGCAGCAGCATGGGGGGGTCATCTGGGGGAGGCTCGTCGCCGCGGCTGGACTCGTCTAAAAGTCCTGGTCTGAACGCGCTTCAGCAGGAGATGCCCTTGGGGGCGATGCTGCATGAGGGGAGAAGCAAAGGGAGATGCTCATCGAGGTAATATGAGGATCCTGTGCGTTAGTTTACATGTTACGGGGACCGTCAAGGTTATTAGAGGGCTCCTGGAAGTTGCGGACTGAAGGAGGAGGAGGAGGAGATGGAAGAGGAGGAGGAGGAGGCCGACGACAACGACGACGACGGAGACCATATTTGTCAGTTGAATTTGAACCGTCTAGAGGGGTCTTGAGGGTTTCAGGGTTATGGTAGGTTTTAGGGGGAAGATGAAGAGGAGGAGGAGGAGGAAGAAGAAGAAGAACAAGAGGAGAAGGAGGAGAGGAGGAGGGGCGGAACAGCAGCAGCAGGAAGAAGAAGAAGCAAAAGACGAGGAGAATGCATTAGAAGCTTCAACACGTGCTCGAGGTTCTCAGGGCGAGATGCGGCGTTCTAGGGGCCAGGGAAAAGGAGAAAATGGGGTGGAAGAGAACAGGGAAGCAGGAGGTGCAGGAAGAGGAGGAAGAGGAGGCGAGGGACGAGGAGGAAGAGGAGCAGTAGCAGCAGGTTGAGGAGGAGGAGGACAGGGCAAGGGCCTGGGGAGGAGGGGGAGGAAGGAGGAGAAGGGCTTGTTTGATTCGATGCGACCATGGCCCATGGCTATAAGCGTGCCTCTGCAGTAAGGAGCATGGAGGCGGGAGAAGGAGGGAGGAGGAGGAGGAGGAGGAGGTGGAGGAGGAGGAGGAGGAGGAGGAGGAGTACGCAGCCATTGAGTGGGTTATCTTGCCACTGGGAAACTCGCGTGCCAGAGAAGATTCGCACGCTACATCGCTGCACCGCGTCGCGCACACAGAGGGCGGGGTCGAACCAGCCACGAGGGGCTCGAACGAACGGGACCGAAAAGGGGAGCGCACCGAGCCGAAGGGCCCGAGGGACGCGACCGAAGAGGCCGAGGGAGGAGGAGGAGGCGACACGCGGGCGGGAGGTCTTCTACACTCGCTGTCCGTGACGTCTGCCACTTCAGTTTTTTTTGCTCTGCGGGTGCCTCGGCTGCACCGCCTCGCTAGCAAGGGCATGAGAGGCGGCTGTCAGTGCGAGGCCACACGTCAGAATCATGATTCACTGCCCAAAGAATCGCTCTTGCTCATCTGGGTCCCTTCCATCGCCAGCTAGGCTTTGGGGGCGTCAATCCAAGCGCGCAGCCCCTCCACTTGGCCCGTCGTCACTTGGGCCCCCAGGGACCTGAACGAATCCACGCAGATCTTCCCCCTCTCCTGGTAGGCAACGGAGAGGGCGATCTTGATCTGGCCATCGTTGTCGCAATTCTCGGGCCTGCACAACTTCACGGGCGTGTTACCCACCCTCTCGTTAATCCACTCTTCCACGTCGGTTCGGTTGATCTTGCCCACCACCTGGGCGGCCATCGACTCCGCCATGGCCGCAGAGACCGCCATCGTCGGCCTCCTTGTTGATAGCCAGCACGGCGACCTTCTCGTTGGCCTTCTTGGGTTCTCCCTTCAGCCTGGGGACGCGGCTGCGGGGGTTCTGGGCCTGGCGGGCGGGCGCCAACCCCCTCGTCGTGCATGCCCTTGACCACGGGACTGGGATCCTCTACGATGATCGCGCGCGTCGGGGCGGAGACGGCACCCTGCTTCTTTCGGTTCTCCGCGTAGCCCCCCACCGCCAGGGCCAGGTCGAGGCAGAGGTCATTGGCCAGGGACGCCTTGACCACGGCCGCAAGGGCACACACTGCGTTGGATATCAGCAGCGTCTTGAAGATGTCGCCCATGAAGGCGCCCGCGCACGCGCCCGCGGCCTGAACGACTCCACTAGGATATTCACCCGCGCCAGGTCCGCGATGGGGAAATCGACCTTGACCTGGCCCTCGTTGTAGCAATTCTCGAGCCTGCAGAACTTCACGCACGCGTTGTCCACCATCTCGTTGGTCCGTTCTTCAAGGGCAATGCTGTTGATCTTGCCCACCCCCTGGGTGGCCTTCGGCTCCACCATGGCAGCGAAGACTGCCATCATCAGGGGGCCCGAGGGGCAGAGCTCCTGCGGGGCCACGTCGGCCCCCACGTAGATGGCCACCTCGGCGACCTTGTCCTTGGCCTTCTTGGACACGCCATTCAGCCTGGCGGCGCGGCAGCGGGGGGTCTGGGCCTGGTCGGCGAACCCCATCCCCCCGTCCAGCGCCCCCGTGGCCACGGGGCCGGGGTCCTCGACGGTGATCGCGCGCGTCAGGATGCCCCATGGGCCTCTTCGTGCGCCGGGGGGCACACGGGTACCAGGAGCCCTTCAACATCGTCCAGCCGCTGTTGATCGTCTGGGTCCTGGCACACAGCTCCGACGCGTTGCTGTTGGCCGCGCTGGGCCAGGCACCCAGGCGCTTCAGCTCGTAGCCAGCGTGCCAGACCGACGCCACAGTCGACTCCGCCGTCGGGGAGGGTGAGCTGTCTCGACCTCAGAGCGGGGACGACGTCCTGCATCTGATTCTGCGCGTAGCCTCTCGCCGCCCGAGCCAGGTCGAGGTAGAGGTCATTGGCCAGGGGCGCCCAGACCACGGCCGCTGGGGTACACACTGTGTTGGGGATCAGCAGCGTCTTGGTGATGTCGCCCATGAAGGTACCCATGCGTGCGTCCACGGCCGTGAAGCGTCCGACCATGATGGCGGTGTCGCTGCTGCGCTGGTAGCGCTCGAAGCCAGCCCGCGCCCAGGCGCGCGGCGGCAGGTGCGCATGAAAATCACAAGCGCCGACGCGTCGCCCATGGGCCCCCCGCTGCCACTGCGCACGGCCAGGCACTCATCAGCAGCGTCCCGTACCACCGTGAGCGCGGCGCGTCTGATGCTCGCGATGTGCGCAGCGAAGGCGATGTCCCTCGCCTCGGGCCCAGGGTCCGTCACCTGCCTCTCGCGAATGCCCCCTTCCAGCCCGGTCTGCAGGCCGTAGGCGAAGGCGTTCGTCGCGTCGTAGCTCTTGCGCAGCAACGGCTGGCCCGCCCGCACGCCAATCCGCGCCATCCACCGAGGGCACATGGCAGTGGGCAGCCACCGCCCAGCAGGCCCCGGTTTCCCGTTCTTCTTGTCGGGCGCGAAGCCGTGGGGCAGCGGGGCCTCGCCGCACTTGGCCAGGTGTCCCAGCTGGTCCTGCACGTAGGGGGCCGCCGTCCTCCGGCCCTCGTCCCACACAAGGGCAGGGCGCGGGCACGAGCCATCTGTCTTCGTTTAGTAGTCACTCGGCATGCTGGTCCTCGCGGGGCCGAGGGAGATCTTGAACAGCTCGACTGGGGCCGACCACCTCGGCGCCATGAGGTCCATGCATATCATCCGTGTGTAGCACCGTGGGGTGGCCGCATACTCCGTCAGGGCCCACTTCAGCAACTGCATGCACGTGTCGCGGCGCACCGCCGCCGAGCCCGCCATCGGGCGGGGGGGGAAGTACAGCACCATGGTCGCGATCACCACAGGCCCCGAGCAGATGTAGGCCAGGCCACCTCGCCCGCGCAGCAACGCTGGCGGGGTGATGATCCTCCGCAGGGCTTCTTCCCGAACCATCATTTGTAGATCATGATGGCGCAGCCGCAGGCCTTCCTGCGCTTGGAGTCCTCCTGGGCCTGCTTGCGAATGGGGGGGGTGGCCCCGCAGGCGTCGGGGGGGCGTAGTCGTAGGCGAGCAGGTCGTACCGTTCGCCCAGCACCTCCGCACACCACGGGACGGTCACGCACTCCCTCCCAAGGCCACTCGCCAGCGGTGGCCACAGCAAAGAGGCGCACCACTCCTGGGCAAAGGGCGGGTGCGCGCAGTGGTTGCGGTTCTTGACGCCGATACCCGCCCAAGGAAGCGACCTCGCCAGTCAAGGGGCCACTGCCATGTCCCGCAGTTGCCCATCTTCGGCCTGCTCGCCCTCCGTGTACACACGGCGGGCCTCCAGCATGTGCTTGCGGTGGCTCGTTAGCGCCTTCAAGTACGCCTTGATTTGTTGGGTGCAGCACACGGCGCCCTCCACAGCGGCCTCGTCCGCACATTGTATAACGTGGTGGTGGGCGCCGTTGGCCGCGTGACGCGCCTCGTTCTGCCAGTCCTTCACTGCCACGCCAGGCAGGGCGACCACGCCGACCAAGTGGGAGACGGGGCTGGCCTCGCCCAGGCGGGGGGCGCCGATGAGGTTGTGCAGGTTCCAGCAGCAGCCCACGATGCACGAGCGGGCGTTGGTCTCGGTATGGGCGGCGGCCTGCGCCGACCCGAGCGTGAGCAGCAGCAGCGCGGGGCTCATGCCCCCGCGGGCGGCAGCGTGCAAGCCTGCCTCCCAGCGGTGCTCCGCCAGGGGAGGCGGCACTCCGCGCGGTCAGCGCGCCAGCCAGGCCACGGTGGCCCCCATGGTGCCTCTGCCGCGGGTCGGAAGGGCCGCCTGGTGGGCAGGGGGGACCAGGGCCGTGGTGGCGGCTTGGAGGAGGAGGAGGAGGAGGAGGAGGAGGAGGAGGAGGAGGAGGAGGAGAAGAAGGAGGAGAGGGAGGAGGAGGCAAGGGGAGAACAGAGAAGAGAGAGAGAGAGAGGGAGACAGAGAGACAGAGAAAGAAAAACAACAAAGAATGAAAGAAACAAACAAAAAACAAACAAACAAACAAAAAACGAGGAGGTAGAGGACAGAAAGAATGGAGATAAGGAAGAGAAGGGAGAAAAAGAACGAGGGAGAGGAGGGAGAAGAGGGAGAGGAGGGAGGTTGGTCTTGGTTGAGCGGCGCGGCGTGCGCTAGTGCATGCCCAATTTTTCCCTCGTGCTACCAACAGCAGAGCATGTGCCAGCACCCTGGCTCCCAAGCTTTCGTGGGAACCCCGACCAGAAAACGCTCGCGCGCAAGGCTTGGTAAAGGCCCGCCGCATACTGGATTCTCGAGGCGCGGGCAAAAGCCGCACCGCGGCGCCAGCACCTTCAGCGGTACTACACGAGAGCTCGGCGTCGATCCCTCTGCGGCCAGCTCCCCACGCTGCGTCGGAAATCCTCGGACGACGACAGCTACGGTCAGGAACTTGTTCTTCAGGTGTCGGGGCGGCGGCCCGCCGACACGCAATGCCATGCAAGCTTGTAGCGTGTCGCTCCGCTCCGCGGGGCCGGAGGCTGGGAAAAGCTTGGGACGTTGACGCTTGGGGACTCGGACGTGGTCAGCGTGTCGCGCCGAAGCGCGACGGGCCAGAACCCGGTGAGCGACACACTGAGCTAAAAGTTCCCCACAGCTAGACAGCGACACCGATCTTGGGCAGACCAATCATGCCTTGCCGGCCCGGCCAGGACGCAAGATGCTCCGATCCTGGGCCCAGGACCCCGACCTCCGGCGCCATGATATCCTCGCAACGTGGACCCCCAGAGGTCTCGACGCATTCCCCCGGACCGGCTCTTCATCCTAAGTCGTTCGCACAGCCCAAATGCCAAGCGAGAGCCCATACACGCCGAAAGCGTCACAAGCCGTCCGTCATGATTCGTTCACAACTCAAGGGAACAAGGCCTGGCCTCGCCAGCCTGGCCATGACGCCGTATGCTCTGATACCCTGACATCCTCCGATCTATGATGTTTCAATCCGCGGCCCTAGAGGTCCCGACCGCTTCCCTGGGGGTAGCGTTTCGCCCCGGATCGATGTGTGATAGTCACGCGGCCCGATGCTCGGCCCCAGAGGCCAAAACGGAGGGAAAACGCTGGGATTGAAAAAACAAGGTCCTGGGCCCAGGAGGATCCTGTCCCAGGAGGCTGCGCACAAACAGCACCCCGGGCGCGGAGCGCCCTAGGGGCGTGCTGTCTGTGCGCAGCCCGAGGCCTTACCAACCATGATCGGTGCCCTGTGCGCGGCTGCCGTCGCCCGACGTCCTCGCCCGGACCACGCACTAGACGCCACGGTGCCGCACAGCCGTGCACCGCACCGCCTCGCAGCGCCCGCAAGGCGCGCGCCGCCTCAGGCGCCCGCCTCCGCCGCGGGCGCCCCACTCGCCCTGAGGCGCCGCCCGCTCTTCAGCCCGGAGCCGTACTCCTGCGCGGGAGCAAGCAGCGGCACAAGCATAAACTTTCGAAGCTCCGCGCTGGCGCGCTCCGAGCGACAGGGAGGTGGGTCCAGCGCCGATCTACGAAATCCGCGCGGACCTCCGAAGGTTTATGCTTTGGCCGTGTCTTCTTCTCGGCTCCTGGTGCTCCGACCGGTGGCTCTCCTCGTGCGCCCTGTAGCGGGCCAGCGCGTCCTGAAACGCCTGCCACCTCTCGTCACTGATGGCCGGGTACTCCACAATCTGCCGGAGCTCGGTGAAGGTGCGCGGGGGCGGGGGGAAGGACGCCTCGAAGCCCAGGACGGACGGCGGCAGCACCACCGGCGTCGGCGGCACCACGGCGGCGTCCAGCGGCACCGTCCTGTACATGGTGTGGCTCCTGCAGAGCTGCATCGGCGCGCCCATCGCCTCGCCCTCGAGCAGCATCGTCTGGGGGTCCTCCCGCGCCACGCGTAGGACCTCCTGGACCTCGCAGCTCGGCAGCAGCTCCTCCGCCTCGCCGTCGCCGTAGACCACGAACAGGCGCGGGGGTGGCGTGCCCTCCGGCAGGGGCAAGTACCTGGCGTCGGGGTGCTTGTACGGCACGCCCGGCTCCGTGCAAGGGGGCTCCTCGCACTCGTCGCCCATTGCCACGGCGAGGGTCACGTCTATGGTCTGGTCGCCCCGCAGCTCGAAGTGGTTCCCGTCCGCGTCCTTCATGCTGATGAGGTCGCCATCGCAGTGAACGACGTACGACCCGCTCGCCGACTCCCGCGCCGCCAGCAGCGCCTCCCGCTCGCCCTTGAGGGCCACCTCTGGAGCTGTCACCAGATGGACGTCCCCGTCGCCTCTGGAGCGGAGGACGAAGCCGTCCGGGCGCCTGAGGTAGATCAGCGCGTTCGTGCAGAACTCGGTGCACTGGCCCATCGAGGGGTTCGAGTTGATCAGCTCGCCTCGCTCGTTCAGCCTCTGCGGAACCACCTGCAGCCGGGTCCCATCGGCGCACTCGACCTCGGTGAACGTGGTCGGCGTCTTTGGGTGATAGGCACGCGGGGAAACGCTGCACGTCACGCGGGCCAGCCCCTCCTTCTCGATGGTGACGCGATGCCCGTCCGCCGTCGGCACGTTGAAGATCCGGGTCCCGTCGGGAAGCAGGCACGTCCGGGGCGCGCCCGCGGCCTCTGGCCCGTCGATGATGTGCAGCCCCTCCGCGCTGCTGGTGACGCGCTCGCCCGTGTGCGGGTCGACCAGCGAAGAGACGGAGATCTCGCCGATCTCGTACTCGATCGTGCGGCCGTCGTCCGTGAGTGCCCCCTCGAGCATCTCCAGCAGCGCCTCCGTGCTCCGCTGTCCGTCAACGCCGCTGGCGCCTGCAACGCCCGCCTCCTGCTCCTCCGGCCCAGCGGGCGGCCCCGCGGGCAGGTCGGCGGGCGGCGGCACGCACGCACGGCCGAAGACGGCGCCGTCCGGCCTGGTGACCCGCCAGTGGCCCGGCAGCCCAGCGAACATGGCCTCCGCGCTCGCTCGCTCGCACACCTCCAGGAGCCCGCGGCCGTACTCCATCTCGCAGGCCTCGGTCATGCGCTCCAGGGCCTCCCGGGACGCGCGCCGGATGCCTGCGCTGCCCAGCCTGTCCAGCTGCGCCCGCATCTCGGCCGCCGTCGGGTTCCGCAGGGCCCGCGTGCCGTCCGGGTGGTGCACCTCACGCCGGCCCGAGAGCAACTCGCGGACCAGCACCCCGAACGGCGACACCGTGCGCGAGAGCTCGCAGTCCAGGGCCCCGCCGGGCAGCAAATCGGACCTCTCCAGGAGGCCGTAGTCCGTCGGCGCCGGCGCCTGCGACGGGAGTGACTGACGAACAGTGGCGTCGCCGAGCGCCTGCACCAGCAGGCCGTCCGAGGCGGAGCAGGCCACCTGGACACAGGGCCTGGCGAAGGTGACGTCGTACATGCTCGCGCCCTCCTCGTACCACGCGTTCTCGTGCTGCATCCGGCAGCTGACCCGGGACGAGTCCGGGAAGGTCAGCCAGAAGACGCCGAAGCGCAGGTCCTCCAGGAGGCGCTCCGACACGGCCGCCTGCGAGCTCGGCGAGGCGCGCCCCGCCTCCTCCTCCTCCTCCCAGCTGCACGCAAGAGCGGCCCTGGGCAAGAGTGACCTCTGGTGTGCGGCCGTCGGGGGCCGCTGCACAGGGGTCCCATCCAAGCCGTCCCAGCGCGCCAGCCAGTGCTGGCGGGACCCCTGCGGGCCCGCACCAGGGGTCACTCCGGGAAAGGGTCACTCTTACGCCAAGCCGATCCTCGCTCTCCTCCTCGCCCTCGTCCTCCTCTGCGGGCGGCAGGCCCTGGGCGGCGCGCAGCGCGTCGGCCTGGGCCTTCTCCTCGGCGGCCTGGCGCGCCGCCTCCGCCGCCTCCGCCGCGGCCGCCTCCCTCTCCTCCCGCCGCGCCCGGAAGCGCGTCACCTTACGGTGAGGGCATTGGACAAGGAACCACTGGATGAGGAATCCAGGGTCTGGAAGCCCGTGGGACACACACTGAGGCTTGGCCATGGATATCACCGCCACCCTCATCAGATAAGGAATCCTCCAAGCTTCCTGGACACGTTTCTAACCAACGCCCCCATCGTAGGCAACCACACCCGAACCCCACCCCTGCAGGGCAGATTTCCGAAAAACTGGCCAGGGTTCAGAAGGTGAAGCATGCATGCAGCCAAGTGGGCTCCAGCGGAGGAGTTCGATACCCCAGCGCTGATCGGACGCGTAGACAAGTAGGGTTCGCAAGCGGTCGCAGACACCTTCCGCTGCCAGGCCGCGTCGCTGACGATGCCGAAGGCGATGCCCTCCTTGAGCACGCGCGCTGACCTGCAGCAGCGCAGCGGGGCGGCGTCCAGGGCGCTGGCGGGGCCCCCGCTGGCAGGGGGCGCAGGGCACTCCTGGAGGCCCCTGTTCAGCGCCGTCTGCAGGATCACAGATCTGTCGGCGGGGACGTGGACCTTGCGACCACACGCACGGGTGACCCTGGGCAAGGGTGACCCTGGGCGCGCTGCCTCGGGGGGGCGTGGGGAAGCGCGCAAGCCGCTGCTGTCGCGGCGCGCTCGGCGACCTGAGGACCCCAAAGGGTGCCCACCAGAGGTCGCTCCGGCGAAGAGTCACTTCCACGTGCAGTCGAACATCTTCGATCCAATTGTTGTACTCCGCGGCCCCAGAGCTCCCGAACCCCTCGAAAGGGGAGATCTCTTGAGTCCTGGATCCGCTGAGGGCCCCGGGGCCCGAGCACGGGCTCCGGAGAGGCCGAAACGGTGGAACAACGGTGGGGTCAGAGATTCACTCCGGCGAAGGGTCACTCGGTTTTCGCGGCGCAATTCGGGTTGCGGGCGGCTGCTCGGGACGATCTGGGCACCCCTGGGGACGCTCTTGGTGAGGCGCAGCGGCAGGAACGCATTCCTGCACAGCAAAGCCTCTGGGATGGAGGCGGCCGGGGGGTCTGAACTGGTTGGGACCCCAGAAGGCCGGCCAGGAGGAGAAATAAAACCAAATCCACTCAAAATCGGTCCCCAGACCCCTCCCAGGGTTCATCTGGTGCAGTTTTTCGCCCCACATCTGTTTCTGACGGCCCCAGGGCCGAAAACTGCTCCCAGAGGCTGAAAAAGGCAAAGCACCTCTTCGAACCCCCAACCTCGAACCTGCTCCACCTTCCTGCTGGCCATCACCAGTGCTGGGCTACCCTACCCCAGACCCCCAGCCGGCTCCAGCCTCCAGGATCCGACGAAACCGTGCGAAAACTGCGACGCAGTCGGGCCTTCTCCACCACGCTGCAGTACCCGACCTCCCTGGCGTCGCTGTCCTGGAGCAGCCGAGGGGCGGCCTGCCCCTCGCCCCCGGCCGCGCCCTCCACGAGCCGCCTCCAGTCGCCGAAGGTGGGCACCGGGCACAGCCGGCCGCCGAGGCCCTCGCCTGTGCGGGCGCCGGAGATGCTCGGGGGCCTTCGTCCCTGCCCAGAACTCCAACGCTCGCAGTTTTCGGGGCCTCTGGGGGCCCTCGCCGGGCCCCAGGACCTTCAAGAAACGACCTGGGACGAAAAGCCCACCCTGGGGGAAGGGCATACTCGCGTCGTGCAAAAATCACGACGGGCCGTTTTCGGCCTCCAGGAGCCCTCGCCGGGCCTGAGACTGTCAAAAAACGATCCGGGACAGAAAACCGGTCTCAGGGAAGAGATCCAAAGCTCTGGGGATCCAGCATTGAGAAAATCGAAGCATCGGATGTCTGGGATCTGGGCGTCGTGAGGAATCCCGTCGGGCGTTCGCGAGACCCTCACGGATCGATCCAGCTCGGGAAGCGACGCACCAGGATGTGGTCGGGAGCTCTGGTCGTCATGGCTTAAGACGTCGTGGCCTATTCACGGCTTCGGGTAACGGGGGGAACCAGCGCCAGACTCTGTTCAGGGCTCAGTCTTCGCTTCCGCCAGCCTCCGCGAGCTTCCTTTCGGGATCATCCAGATAATTCCGGCTTTCGTTTTAATCTGCCCCCTCTGCAGACTTGTGGCACCAGACATACCCTGCACTTCCTCCAGACAGGGGACACGTCCTTTGAACAAGCCGCCTGATTGCATGAAGTCCCCCATCCAGGAGTGCCATAGCACACGACCTTGAAGCAGCCGATGGTGCATGGCCACGAGGAGGCAGTCGTGCCTGGGCACGTACGCCGTATCCACAAACCCCTCCCCGAGCGACGCCGTCTGCATGGCCCCTATGAGCATCGAGCTGGGGATCCGCTCGTGGAACACCCGATCGGTAAGCCGCCAACGGCGCTCTGGCTGCGCAGCCTCCAGCAGGCGGCCGAACTCCTCGAGGATATACATCCGCTCGATCTCCACGATCGGCACCTCCTCGTGGGAAACCGAAAGGCACCGATGCCACCACTCCCTGGACCTCTCCTGGGGAGCGTTCTGACCGGAATCTCAAGGCGAGTCCAGCCGTGGCAACGAGGGCCTCCCAGGAGGCCCAAAAACGCGCCAAAAGAGGCAAGGGCAGCGACATCGGAACCTTTCCCTCCTTGCAATCCTCGGGCATGAACGCGTGGAGGCGGTTCCGCAGCGCGGAGCGCTGTGGGGCCGTCAGCTGCGGCTGCGGCGGCAGGCCGAGCCGCTCCACGCCGGGGGCGCGGCACCTGGCCAGCAGGGCGCCGACGGCGGCGGCCACGGGGAGGCCGCCGGGGAGCTCCCCGCTCGGGTGACGGCAGCTGGCGCGGTCCAGGTAGGGCAGCACCAGGTCGGAGTCCGCGGTCTCCTGGGAGGCACCGCCCTCCCAGGGCGGCTCCTCCGGAGTGACGGAAAAAGAGACGGCACAAGCAAAAGTTGTGGAGGGTGCGCGGGCCCTCGACGGCGGTGCCTCCGCCCCTGGCGGGCCCCGCGCACCAGGAGAAGAAAAGCCAGCGCCGATCGCGCGGACCTCCGACAGTCTGTGCTTCTGCCGGGTGTCTTGTGCTCTGATCCTCTGGCCCCAGGCCCGCCGCGCCCGCGCCAGCGCCCCGCGCGCCGAGGCCCTGGGGGTCCCCCAGGTCGCACAGGCAGAGGTCGGCGTGCAGGCCGTCGAGGCACTCCTCGAGCAGGCCCAGCTCCTCGCCGGCGCCGCCCGTGGGCCGCCCGGCCTCGTCGTGGCCGCCGGACAGGTCCGGCGCCGCGTCTCCACTGAGGTTCAGGGCGACCTGCTTACACGGTTTCTTTTGTCGCAGACTCGGCGGTCGCACGAGTCGGTCGGATCATTTCTTGGCGTCGCGGCCTCGTGCGCATCGTCGAGTGTAGAAGGTCGAAGAGCGGACAGCTGGAAACGCGCGCGCGGCCAGCCCATTGAGGAAGGTGGCGTAGCGACCTTACGAGCTGGCCAATGCGGGCCGAGGGAGCACGGAGACCGTCGGAGCCCCCGCAGACTCGAAGGCGGGCGGAAGCGGGAGGGGGAAAGGAGGCGACCTGCTCGCACAGGCAGTGCAGCAGCAGCGGCACGTCCTGGCGCTGCGGGCACACCACGTCCGCCAGCCGGGAGTACAGCCGCGTCTCCACCGCCTCCTCGCAGCGCCCGGCGCCAACCTTCTGCGCCGCCTGCAGCCACCTTTGAGCAGGGACCGACCGTCCCTGCATTCCTCTAGTCCTACCACGACATGCTCTTAGAAAAAAGATCATGTTCGAAAAACAAAAACCGTGCTCTGAGAACATGTGGCCGACGTGTTAAAACAAGACGGTCTCAGCAAGAGAGGTTCTTAGAACATTTCGTGCAAACCACAGAGGGCCATCAGAAGACTCCTTCCGTGGGCCTATAAGCAAATCGGGAAGCTTCGCCACTGCTTGACACCTGTCGTACCGCAGCCGCGCGGACGCCTCGCCCTCGCCGACGCGCAAGGCCGCCTCCAGCACCCGGTCTCCCGCGCTGTCGGCTGGGAGCGCCAGCGCGTGGCAGTCCGCCACCGCCACGACGGTGCACTGGGCCAGGGCGTCCTCGGGCGGCGCCTCGCGCGCCAGCCGGCGGAGTTCCTGCAGCAGCGCCGGCGCCTCGCAGCGCTGGCGCGACCGCTCGGGATGGAAGGCGCCCTCCACCACAGTCTCGACCTGAGGACAGCGCAACCCCACCCCCAGCCAGGACCCCCCCCCTCCCGACCTGGTAATCCAGGGCGTCCTGGCTGGGGATGGAAGTGGTTTCCTGCAGCAGAAACCGCCCTCCCCCTCAGCCAGGACTCCCTGGATCACCAGGTCGGGAGTGGGGGGTCCCGGCTGGGGATGGGGGCGGGCTGTGCTGTCCTCGCGACCACCGTCTCGCCCTCCAGGTGCACAGTAACCCACGAGCTCACGGCGCGGAAGGCGCCCTCGCCGGCGAGGTCCCGCACGTCCTGTGGGACCGCACGCGCACCGACACCGCTACTCCCAGGACCTCTCCTGGGGTGCGTTCTGACCAGAATTTCAAGCCGAATCCAGCCGTTGCGACGAGGATTACGGTCGGGAGCTTTCGGATAGCGTGTCGCTCCGCCGGGGCCGCGTCGCGACACGCTCAGCAAAAGTTCCCGACCGCATAAGAGGACGAGCAGCGGTATCGGTACATGTTCCTCCTATGACGTCCTGCGGGGTCGCCGGGTAGCCCACGAGCACCAGCACGAGGTCTGGCCCGCCGGGCTCGGGGTCCTCCGTGTCGGGGTCGCCCAGGGTTGCCCCCTCGGCCTCAGCGATGGCGCGCCTCCGCGCCGCGTTCACCTTCCGCAGCCTGCGGCCAGCGCTCTCGGCCTCCACCTTTAAAGGGGCCCAGGGCGACACAAGCAAATATAACTGAAGTCCAGTATCCCCCAAATTTGCCATCATTCCACCCTTTTCGTCTTTTCTTCCATCTCCCATTTTCTCCTTCAAATCTACGCTTACTTGTGTCTGTGCCTACGCTTCTCTCCTGACCTTCTTGAGGAAGGCCTGCGCCAGCTGCGCGGAGATGTCGCTCTGCCCCTCCTCCTTCCGGCGACGCGCCCAGGGGGAGGGGGGAAGCGAGAGGGGGCCAGGCTTCCTCCGAAGGCGGCGGGGCTCCTCGCAAGCCCTCGCGCCTTCCGAGAGGCCGTCTGTGGCGCCGACGAGGGCTCAGAAGGCTCCTCAGAAGGCGCGAGGGCTGCCGAGGGGCGCCGCCGCCTCCTGAGAAGGCCCGCCCCCCCCCCCTCGCTTCCCTCCCCAGCGCGCCGCCGATCCTTCACCGGCTCCCCCTTCTTCGGGGGCGGCTGCTTGGAGGAGCCGCCCTCGACCAGGGTCTCGACGTCCGCCCTCTGCACCAGCAGGCGCGTCCTGCCGGTGGAGTCCTGCTGCGAGTCCCGCAGCTTGGCCGCCAGTGCCGCGCACGGGTCGAACTCGACGAGGGGGGCCGGGCTTCCCGCCTCTGCAGCCTCGCCCAGCGGTCGGCTGACCACCGCGCAGGGGGGGCCCAGGAGGGCCCATGACCGATGACCATCAGAGCGCGTGTGTGACGAGACGAAGCGAGAGCCTTGACAACATCGGACCAGTATAAGTCGGGGATCTCTGAACCGGCGGCTCTGGAGGATGTATCTGGCGCCGCGGCCGTTCCAGAGCGTCCTGGAGCGTTCTCAAAGCGTTTTGGAGCGCTCTGGAGCGACGTTGGCGCCAGCCTGAGCTTGTCCACTCAAGCCCCTCCATACGAGGCAGGCGGTGCAGTGAGGGCCGCATCGGGGCCATCTCTGCTGCTGCCTGGCCTCTAGAGGGCCTGCTTGGTCGCACACCCCCACCCCCCAGTGCCCCAGACCTCCGCCGTCGTCGAGGTTCCCAACTCTCCTGCGGAGTCGGTGCCTCGTCTTCTCCCTGCCGCGCTGGCGCCGACAGGGGCTCTCGAGACCCCAGCATGCTTCCACGACGCCTGGCAGTCTGGGCCCCCGCCTCTCCATATCGGACCCCGCCACCCCTCAAAGGGGCGCGCGCTGACCCAGGGTCTGGTCGCGAATCCAGCCATGGCGACGAGGTCTTCCCCGATGAAACCACAAAAAAAACATAAAGGCCCTGCTCCTCCTCCTCCTCTTCCTACGCTCTTCCTCCTCCTCCTCCTCCTCCTCCTCCTCCTCCTCCTTCTCCTCTTCCTCCTCCTCCTCCTCCTCGACAGGGGGCAAAGGGTACCGATTCCGCTACTCCGCGAACCTCTCTCAGGGTGCGTGCTGACCAGAAGTTCGAGCAGAATCCAGCCGTGGCGACGAGGGCCCTCCAAGATGAGCAGCGATGTTGGTATCCTCCTCTGACTCGAGGTCTGGTCCCAAAGAGTGGCCAGCCGACACGCGCGCCAGCCTCGCCCTCGACCGCGAGGGCGACGCCAGCCACGTGAACAACGGACACCGCGAAGGGCGGGTCCGTGAACGCCAAGCCAGGCGGCAGGAGGACCTCTGACTGGCGACGACGAGGGGCGCCCCAGCGGACGAGGGGCGCGAGGGACACGAGGGGAGGGGCAGAGGAGAGGAGAGGGGAAGGGGGAAACCCTCCTTACCCTTTCCATTCCTTTGACCCTCCTCCTCCTCCTCCTCCTCCTCCTCCTCCTCCTCCAGCTCCTCCTCCTCCTCCTCCTCCTCCTCCGTCTCCTCCGCCTCCTCCTCCTCCTTCTCCTTCTCCTCCTCATCCTACTCAGCATCATCACCATCATCATCATCATCATCATCATCATCATCATCATCATCATCATCATCATCATCATCATCATCAGCACCATCATCATCATCATCATCATCATCATCATCATCATCAGCAGCAGCAGCAGCATCATCAGCATTATCATCATCAGCATCATCAGCAGAAGCATCAGCATCATCATCATCATCATCATCATCATCATCATCATCATCATCATCATCATCATGATCATCATCATCATCATCATCATCATCATCATCATCATCATCATCATCATCATCATCATCATCATCATCATCATCGGCGTCAGCAACATCAGCATCATCATCAGCATCATCAAAATTGGCATCATCAACACCACCATCATCATCATCATCATCACCATCATCATTACCAGCAGCATCAGCATCATCATCATCATCATCATCATCATCATCATCATCATCATCATCATCGTCGTCCTCATCCTCCTCTTCCTCCTCATCCTCCTCTTTTTTCCAACATCAGTACACCCTCCTCTGGAGCCCTTCCCCATCACAATCACCCTCCTCCTCCTCCTTCTCCTCCTCCTCTTCCGCCTCCTCCTCCTCTTCCTTCTCCACCTGAATATCACGTTAAAGAAAAGCCTTGATTGGTGGATAGTTTGAAAATAAGTGACATGGATATTGAGATCCACCCTGTGAGATCGATGGTGAGATCGACTGTGAAATCGACAGTGAGGACGATTGTATGGTCGATCGTGACACCGAGAATGAAGTCGGTTCAATGAGATCAATCGTGAGTTCGATCGTAAGATCGCTCGTGAAAATCTATAGTGATATCGATTGCGAGATCCATGACGAGATCGATTGTGAAATCGAGAAGGATCAATGGAGAGGTGGGTAATGAAATCGATGGTGAGACCGATCGATAAGAAGATCGACCAAGGACCCGGGAAACCGGGAACCCACCCGCCCAATGAATTCGGCCCAGAAGCCAGAACCCGGAACCCGGGAACCCGGAACGGAGAACCCGAGAACCCGGCCGCCCACCGAAATCGGTTGCCAACTCCCGCCAAATTCTTCAAGATCCGCTAGGCCCCCCTTCAGAACAAGCACCGATCGGGGAATAACGCAGGAGCAGTTTTCCCTGAAGGCGGATGCAACTTGACCCAAACAGTTGCGGCGAACGACTAACATGCACAACTGGAATTCCTGAACACACGAGCCCATCCTGCTCACACAACCCGAACACCACAATCTGACACACACACACACACCCCGGCATATAAGCCAAATGTGAAAACGGGTGACACGGAAACAACAAAAACGACGGGGTAACGGATGAGTTCTAAACAAGTGGTCAATACAAGTACAATGCGTGCGCAAGAACATGCGCAACTGGCACTGGCAAGCGGCGACAAAGATTTGGGCGTAAAAGCGCAGGGACCTCCTTACACACGGTACACAAATGTGGCAAAGTGCCGACAGACGCAGAATGATGAATTGCTGTAGTATGTGTAAGCAAACATATGGAACACAACTGATCCCGAACTCAAGTTTCCAGCCACATGACACGGAATAGTACAACGAATACAGGTTAACTTGACACTCCGTAGGAATTATCAGTTCGTGTCTTCCGCTAACAATATGTTGACGTGTACCTCGCATGGGCGTGGACACATCGCCCCTGCTCACACGATTTGCACGGCCCTCATGGGTTCCTACGTTGCTCATTTTGATGTCTCCTCGCCGTACCTTCTCTTGTAACGCAAGCTGACAAATCTCGATGAGTCCGACTTATCCTAGTCCTTGCTGGCCAACGATGGCAATGGCCGTGCTTGCATCGCTCTTAGACGCGGCACCGTAATCAACATTCAAGCACTTGAGACATGGTTGTAGTCCTAACGCGACTGATCCATCTTTCACCATTCCGAAATACGATGCTTCTCCAGAAGATGATGCCACGACGTTCTGGGTCAAACCCCACGACTCTATTAAATGCGATCCCAACATGAGAGTTCCTCCACTGGTTGATTCACGCGTTTTCTGACATGAGGCATCGCCGGCGTCAGTCCACATGGCTAACGCCTGCGGACATTCTTGGTGCAAGTTCTGATACCCACAGTTGTCGTGGTTCTACAGGCACTTGTTTGGTGGGGCCTTCCCATGCCCCGCGGGTTGGGGCCGACATGGGGCGCGCAAGCTCCGCGACTGCAAACTGCAGATCTGAACGGCCCCGCGCAAAAAAAAAAAAAACTGGCTCGGGACACCAAAACTTCATCTTTCTTAACGCTTTGGCATGGAAGCGGCTCCTCAGCTTCCTCCTCGCGGGTTTGCTTGTCGCCTGGAATGCCGCATCTCATGGCTATAAGTCGCATGGCCCTGATCCGAGTCTGCCTCGGTTTTACACTTCGGGCCCCCCTGCAGGTTATCCTTCGAACCAATCCAGGCCAACGCCACTGCCCAAATTAAGCGAAATCATTACCATGCACTGCTAGCACAATTCGCCTTGACTTGTTTTTAACACACACGTCGATGCCTTCTCATTGTCGAACCAACAACGCGCGCAAAGTCCACGCAGCAGTCTCCCCTGTTGCGGGCAGCGCCGCGGGCGCCATGCAGCGACGTTAACCGTATTCCACACATGCCCGGTTGACGATCTTCTTCGGGCAACCCGACGAAAATGGCCTCGGCGCAAAGTCGCGCCCACCTACAATCGAAAAATCCCAGCTCGAGCCCCTTCTCGCGCGCCCCGCGGCCACGCCCGACCCCCTCGGCAACGGCCATGGAGAAAACTGCTGCATGAGCTTTCAGAGGACGGGCGGCTGCAAATACGCCTATCTTCGGAGTTGCACTTGGTCACTATGCCGCCAACCGGGGTCGGCACTCACGATTGGTCTCGTCTCCTCTGTCGATGTATACCCACCTCCTCGTACACTTTGGTGATTTACCAAGAACAGCGCAGCACTCCTCTCCCCCCCCCCCCCTATACGTGGACCCCACGTCTCCTGAACTGATCCATCTGCCCCCCCGAGCTCTTGACATGAGTTCTGGGCCAAGCTCACCCCCTGGAACATCTCTCCTATCATGTGCCCCCATGGACTAAGGATGCGTCCGTCCAGTTAACCGGCTGCAATTCACCAACGCGGCTGCATGCCTAACATGATCCTCGAACACTCTACAAGCCCCAACGTCCGCACACTCCGCAGATCCACCGACGCGGCTGGATGTCCCGGGCAAGCCAGCAGGTGAATCGGGCGACAGTCTTGCGCGCGCCTCCCGCGATCTCTCCCCGTCCGCCCCCTCCCCCTTAATTTCGTTAAACCCCTCTGTCTGGGGGCGCTTAACTGGCGCCCGCGCCCCGGATATTCCCGCGCACACACACATGCTCCACGTTGGTCTGGAACTTCCCGGAAGCTCGAAGCGGGAGGCGCCACCACCCCTCCTGGCCCATTTTAACACAAGCCAATTTCCCCACTCATGTCAATCATACCCGATCTCAATAATTTACATGCGTTCGCCCAGTTCGCTCTAGTTCTCCAATGGATCACAGGCTCTGCAGAAGTGCCCCAATCGATCACCAGCAGCCACCTTGTCGACCAGACCCTCAAGCATAGTTCGACCGAATCGATCTGGAGATAGCCCTGATCTCTAAAATTACCTGCACTGGCGACGCGGCCCAGCTCGAGGCTTCGGCAGGGCGTTCGAAGAGAAGAAATGACCCACAGCTCCCAGAAACCCGCACAGCTCCAACGCAAACATGGGGCGCCCGACCCCGCAACCCAACATGCGCATTTGCCTCTTCAAACCGAACGCCTGTAGCCCGCTGAAGGCTGCGCACATTGAAATCAAAATTAACAACAAGGCTGCGTTGCCCTGGATCACGCGTCTTCCGTTTGCTCACGTCATCACACAGTTGGAATCCCACGGGCCCCCATGCTAATCCCACATAAGAAAGCCCATGGCTGGCCCCGGCATGGATCTCAGCTGCGCTGCCATACCAATAACTCAGACTGGCAAGTAAGCCGCAGTAGCGCGCGCCTGCGCGCCATGCTAACCCATGCCGCATAGCCCCGCTGCTCCCCCCATCTCAAGCGCCCGCGCAAGGGCGCCCAAGTCAGCGCCGAGCATCCACCCGACCACATCCGCGTCATAGCCCATGATGTTTAACTCAGCGCGTACGTCATCAGCGTTCAAGTTATCCTGCCGTTCACTCCCCTGCTTGGATGTTTTGTTATTATATGTGTTCGCCGCCAGGTTCCCTGCATTATTCGAGTCCTGTGCCCTCTTGTTGCATATCCTTGTCCTCGTCTTTGCCATATCTAATATGCTCTCGCCCTCTCATCGTCTCCTGGGCCCTCTGCCTTTCTCCGTTGGTTTCGGCGGAATAACGTCGGCCTGGCGCCCCCCCCCCAAGATATCGCGAAACTCAGCCCATCACGCCCTGGGCCTTCGCACCCCCCCCCTTGCACATTCATATTTCCAATCGTCGGTCATATATCCCACAGCGCATGTTCCCCGATGAATTGCATGCGTTCGCCCCCCAATACTCAGTCGCTCGGGGGCTCTGACCGCCAGGTCTTCAGGCGCATTCACGTTGGCCCTGGGCTCGCAACATCTTCGAATTGCGAACCCACCCTCGACGACAAAAATGTCTGTTAAAGGGTCCCCCCGATTCTTGCCCTGCTGGTAGTCGCCCGTATCCATCATCACCCGCGCTGCCGCTAGTCTCTCTTGGATGTTCGGGTCGTCTTGCCCTTCGGGCCACTCGATAAA